AATGAATAGTGCACCTTATAATGAAGGGCATCAAGCCCAGCATGATACTAATTTTCTTCAGGAAAAAAATCCTAGACCATAGGCACACAATGTTATGTAATACTTACGTTGTTTTAATGTACCTTTTAGGGAGAAGGCAAGCGAAAAAAATTCGAATCTCGAGGTTGGATTGTCCTTTCTCGTACCTAGCACCTACAGCTCCCTTCCTTCTTGAACATTGTATTTTCCTTCTCCATCTTGTCACCTTTAATAAAGATGTCCAAAGCGAATCAACCGAGCTTGTCTAGGAACGCTAGGAATTGGGAAGCGGAGACCGATGAGCCTCGCTCCACACTGGTGGCAGCGCCCGCTGACCTACCCCCTTTCGAGGAAGATATGAATTTCGAAGAGTGGCTCTTAACTGCCAAATTCAACCTTCCTCTCTATAGCTGTTGTCAAAGAATACCTCTTATCCTTCGCGCTCTCCCGCATGATTTATTCGTGGCCGCAGTCGGAGCTGGCATCAACCACGACACGGATGTTGACCAATGTTGTGAAATATTGGCTCAACTGGTCATCGATCATGAGGAGGGAACCCTGGCTAGGGACTTCTTTCAGCGTTTTCAAAAAGTTGATGAGGCCGACGAAGAGTACGCCAGCAACCTCCAACTCCTGGCGGAACGTGCGTTCCGCGGCTGCCCCCCAAACAAGATCGCCAATTGGGTTGCAGTTCAGTTTAAACACAGAATCCGACCTTCCACCTTGACTGAGAAGCTCTGCGGGGCAAAGACTAACTCGTGGACCAATTGGTCAAGCTTGCAACCATGAAGCGGCAGAAACTCTGGGGGCCAGACTTTCCGGAAACCGCAAAACTGGTCAAATGCAGCATTCTCGTACCGTGCTCTCCCGCGCTATACTCCTAAACCAGGTGAGCCCTCCTTTTCCCTTTCCTGTTTACTCCCAAATGGCTCCCAATCTTATATGAGGGTTCCTGATAAACTTGAAGGACGTTCCTGTAGTTTTCTTCGCGACTCCAGTGCAGCTAAGTCAATTGTGAACCTCCATGCCTTCCCTACCCTTTGCAACGGGGTTAAGATCTTCTCCCCTTCTACAAAATTGCGTTCAGCAGAGGGAAGGGAGATGCTAGTCGATGGAGAGACATCATTAAAAGTCTGCATAGGGAAGGAAACTTGGGCAGTAAAATTCATTGTGTGTCCAGAACTGGCCTGGGACGTAATACTTGGTGCCGACTTTCTACGCTACACCAAAGTCGTCCTAAATTTTGCAGAAGGAACCATATTCACTCACGAAGCCACCGGGGTCAACACAGATACCCCTCCACCGAAAGACGATGCAGATGACATCTGCAATGCCATTTTTGAAGCTGCAGCCATTCCCATGAACAATCTGGATGACCTTTGAGCGCAGCTGACTCACATTTCCAACTACGAGAGAAAAGAACTCCGTCAGCTCCTACTTAAGTATGCGATCATCTTCTCATGGCAAGGTGTAAGACTGGGACGAATAAATATCGTCAAGCATAAGATTGATGCTGGTGAAGCAAGGCCCATTTGGCAACCACCCAGACGTATTCCACCTCCTTTGCTGGAAGAAGTAAACCGTTTGGTTGAAGACATGCTCCCAGATGAGGTCATAAAGCCATCCAAGTCACTATGGGCCTCTCCTATAGCGCTGGTAAAGAAGAACGACGGCAGTCTGCGGTTATGCATCGATTATAGGAAGTTGAATGCTGTAACCAAGAAGGATGTCTTCCCCCTTCCCCACATAAATGACTCACTTGACTCACTACATGGATCCCAGTGGTTCTCCACCTTAGATCTGAAG